GGCATGGCTTTACTCAGCTAGAGGCTCCCTAATGTGAGGACACCCCATCCCAGATCCATCCCAGTGCTGCACCCTCCCAGCATCAATCCCTCCTCTAGCCCGCTAATAAAAGTCAGCCTGTGTCGTAACCCATTAGGGCTGATTTATTTGATCAGATTCGTATTATTTCCTCAGTCCAAACCCCATGGCACTCTCCTCCCACCAGTGATTAAAGGCAGTAAATCAGGGGCAGGTCCTGTGTAGTGTTTACTCAGAGAGCCAGGCAGCTGCAAGCTGTTTGAGGCCCTTGTTTCTCCCTCTGTTTACCTCCGTTCCCATGGCGACTGCACCACCGTCTCCCGAACGTCTGGAACTTGGCCCTGGGCTGTTTTGGTTACGTTCGAAAGTTTTTAGCTGCTGTGTCTACCCAGAGCTCGCAGTGACTTCACCCAACGAGGAGTGAGCGCAGTGATGTTGGACGAGTCGAGGAGGAAAAGAGAGGGAAAAGAGAGAGGAGGAGAGGAGGGAGGGACAAAATCTGGGGGTAGGCAGGCACAGGGTGGGGGGAAGGCGAAAAGCCAAGAGCATTACATCATTGCTGGAGCAGAGTCAGAAAGGGAAGGATATGAGTCAGTGGACTGACTGCACCTCTCTCTCTCCCTCTCTTGCTCCTCTTGGATGGCAGCCAAGCCCCTTGTGTTCAAGTCCCCAGTACTTGAGTTGGAGTTGGGATTGTGGGGATTGGGACAGTAAAGCTTAGTGTGTGTGCAGACTGCAGGATTTGTAGGTTAGAGCAAGCAAGTCCAGAGGGGCTTGAGTTGAGGTGTGGGCACCCTGAGGGGTCCAGAAGAGAGTTTTAGAGGATTAACAGGACAATGAAGGGTTGTCAGTTCTGCTCCATCGGGGAGAAAAATAGCAGGATAACTTAGAGAAATAAACTATGGAAGAAGAGATAAAAAGCAAAAGAGGGACTCAGGGAGGGAAGAAGGTCTAGCAGTGATGTCATGGTGGACTGAAGGTGGGTGGGGGGGTGGTGCAGTGGTGGTTCTTGGGCGGGGATTGTGGAAGAGAGAGCAAGGCACTCAGTAATGTGAGAGTGCAGGGTCAGGACTGCAGAGTGTCTACCTGCTCTCCCCAGGGGCCCACAGCCCAGGCTATTATCAATCCCCTCAGTGGAGCCACAGCCTGTCATTATTCACTCACATGCACACACACACACACACCCACACATACACACACACATGCACACATGTTCACACACAGGTTCATGAACATTCACACTCTGGCACATGCACTTATTCACACACTTACACAAACGCTCCGAACATGAATCTACTAATATACCGTACATGTCGGATGCATAATATTTTCATGAGCAAACAGAAATAACAACAGAAAGCAGAAGAGAACTAAAGGGTAGGAACATGTTTTGTAAGAAACATTTAATATTTATTTTCAGATTGTTGTTTGCCCGAATACTTTATCAATCAACCAATTCAAGAATGAGAAGGCCAACAACTCGGGTAATTAAAAAAAAAAAATAACACTGGTCATTGAAAAGAAAATGTTCTTCAGGCACTCTAAGGCAGAGCAAAGGAAAAAAAGTAATATAAAAGCCTTTATTTATTCAGGCATACAGTATTTGCTGAAAGACACTGACAAGATTCAGAGTCTTGATTGGGGCAGAAAAAGTAAAAAACAATAGTGGAAATACCCGACATAAGTTCCCAGAGCCCAATATATGACATCTCCAAATTGCTTGTTTGGCTGATTAACAGTTCAAAACCCCAAAAGAGGCAATTAAACATCATATAATGCAAACTAAAGCAGAAAATATTCACATTTAAGAGGCTGGAACAAGCAAATTTGGGGGATTTTTGCTTGAAAAACAACTTGAACGATTAAGTGATTATCACAATTGTTGCCAGAGAGTTAAGCATTCTAAAAAAGTCTTTTTTTTCACTAATAGTGGCTTTGTGCCTCCAGTTAGTCTGAAATGTCTTTATTTATCAGCAGAGTCAGCACAAAGCTGCGTTAATCCCAAGAGGAAGTGCTGTCAGATGTCAGTGTTGTTTTTCCTCCCACTGGACAAGCAGGTTGTGTTTTGGTGTGTGTGTGAGGTGGTGACGGACTCAGTGTTCGTCCTCCCACCACTCTGCTGCAGGTGAGCTCTGCTAACAGACAGGCGTAAAAGTACAACCTGTAAAGGCTTCAAAGGAGCCTTTATTCTCTCGAAAGCAAGAACCTGACGTGTCTGTGCTGTGTCCTGACCTCATTTTCTTATCTTGAATGAGGACATACATGAAGACTAACTGAGATTTTTCTTTTTATCCAAAGCTGTTGTTAGGCTGCAGGCTGATTTAACTTTCCTAATGACAATACCAACACTGCAAAGCATTTAACTGTTTGGTTATTGCTGACTTTGTGAGGGTTTGGTCTAAATCAGCAAAAGATCTGGCAAACGTAGTCCTTTAGTTCTGTAACACTGGAGTTTATAAAGTTACTTACCATCACTTCCAGTACCAACTTTTTAAAACTACTGCTGTCATTAATGTACTTGTGTTCTTGGACACAAAATTTTTAGGAATATATGCACATTATACAGTATAAAGTATATATATCAACGCACATTGTAATACATGTAACATTAAATACCAAGGCTTTTTGCAAAAAGAAATTAAATAGGCTATGTTAAATAAATCACTACAAATCAAACAAAAGTACTGTGAATGAGCTAATTCCAAGTTATGAGCGTAGGTGTTATAGCCGTAGTTATATGTAGATATGTTTGTTTAAAATTTGTTTTAAGCTAACATATCTACATCTGCAGTCCAAAAAACCGCTGGCAGTAGTCATACAGAATAAAAATTTAGCAAAACAGTTTTTATCTACAAAATCAACATCATGTCACTGCCACTGCCTCATGACTGTTATTTCATCCTCTTAAACGCTGGCAAAGTCTAAAGGCAGAGGGAAACTGTGTTGATGTAGTGTGCAGCTACACTGCATACCTCATTGTACTTTCATGACTTTTCCCATGTGGAAATGTTTGGATTCGCGGTGTTGCTCAGATGTCATATGTGCTGTTAAATGAGTGTGATTGTGATAAATTGGGATGTTAGACAGGAATGACACTCAGTCGGGATGGTAATGGTCCTGTGTGTGTGGAGCAATCTAAAATGTCTGGAGCGTAAATGCACATATTTAGGTCTGGAAAAATACAGGTATTTATTCAGGTGGGGGACCGTTTGCTCTGGTATAGCCCTCCATTTGGCCATCACTCCCTCACTACTCACCATTACGGTAATCCAGGCTATGGTTTGGTCAATTGATTACATCAACCCGTTGAACACAGCTAACCTAAATGCTTCTCGTTTGCACTAATTTCTAAATGCTCAAGGAAATGGAGCTTTATTGACTGGTTAGTGGCAGCATTCATCCTGATGATACTGATAACTGAAGCATTATTGATTCTCCTAATTCAGGTTTGTTAAAGATTCGAACGATACAAACGCTGGTGTTTTGTGGGCACTTTTTTGCAGGGACTGTATGCATGTGGGTGTAGCAGTACCCTGCAGCTGGGAATCGGTGTTCTTACAAGCAGGGATTTGGTGGCAGTTGTATAAATGATGTCACCATGTGCAGATGGAGTGGTCTGGGGTTTTTGGATGGCTGCAGCCTTGAACCAGTGACTGAGACAGGACTGCTGTCAGTAGTTTAAGCTTAGCCTGGGCCTCATCTGTACATGTGATTTATTGATGTGGCCGTGAGTGTGGATAGGCCTGTTGGTCCGCAAACGCTTTTGTGGTCACCAAGGGAGATTTTCCCCACAGGGCTTTCACCGCTGTAGCCGTTTCTAAATATGATTCTCGTCATGCACATTTCATGTGGTTGTTATGACAAATATTATTCATTCATCATCACTATCATTATTATTCATCCATTGTATTACATATGTTTAAAGTGCATCCAAAAACTCCCAAGATGCCTCAACTCTCAACTGCAGCATGAATACATAGTCACATACTGCAGATACAAGTAGAAACAAAAAACGGGAAAAACATTTGTTCTGAAATAGCACAGATGTGAAATGAATAAATGCGTGAAATCACTTTTAAAATCTAAGAGGGGTTTTCTTTAACAGTCTCTTGCATAGTCCAAGGGTTCTTTTCAGTGTAATGCACTTTGTCGATAGTCAGTCCTCCAATCATGTTGCCAAAGCCAGCCCAGAGATTTGTGAAGTGTTTGTGAAGAAAAACATTTTTCAGTATAAGATACTTTGATTACCTTCTCCTCTCTAGGACATGTACTCTATACTTAGAGGGACATTCGTGTAATGTTTATAGGTTTTGAAACGCTATGTTCATTACAAACTAATTGATCTGCAACAGTGAAAGTTCCATTAAAACTCACGAAGAGGTCTGCGATAGAGTTGGTCCTTTCATTTATATGGATAATCAATAACTCTTTCAACTTAAGTTTTTAAACATGTAGTTGTTAATGGCTTAAATGTGACTTAAGACATCAAGCTGTTTATGCACAGCAGTTCGTATTATCCCCCCTTTCCCATGTTTTCCCCAAATTTTTCCAATATCTCTCGAGTGCTGTCTTGGTGCTTTTTCATAATTTCATGAATACCAGATTTATTTCTGTTTATAGTTAAAACATTTTGTAAGCTTGTGTTTTGCTCAGTTTTACATCGTAACACACCCCCAATTGGCATTTATAAGCAGTAGGTGAACATTGAATGAATGGTTTATAACACACTGTAATGTAGTTGTAAGCAAATATGAGGAGTGTTTATGTGTAATCACATATTATTAAATATAAATACAGCTGTGTTGTACTGCATAATCATCAGTCATTATATGTTTATACCCCATAATTAATTAGCACCATAGTGTTTGTAGTTGAGATTGCTGTTGTAATATGACAAAACAAGGAATAATGCTCCTAAATTATCCATAACAGTGCAAAACCTGAAGTTCTTTGTCTGCATCTGTCTGTGTGTGTCCTTTCAGGCCTGTCCCTGGGTCTCTGTCCTCACTGCTGCACCTACGAAACAGACAGAGACAGCCTCTGCCAGCCTCCATGCCTGGAACACTGCCAGACCCAACCATGCCTGGCTCCTCCGCTGTGCTGATGCCCGTGAGTACAACAATGGAGCACAGAGCACATTCACTCACGGGTGCACTCACACATGCAGAAGCAAACCCACTCACTCATGTAGTAAGTGACGACAGTGTACATTAAGACTGCAGATAAACTATGTAGGTCTGCACTTTCGGATGTTCTCTGTCACCATTAATGTGACTCACAAGGAAGTTGTATGTTGTATAAATGAAGGATTCAATGAATGTGAAGGTTCAGAATATGGGCTTTCTTTCTTTTGTAATTAAGCTAAAAAGATTAAGAGGACCCACATTGGGAAGGTGAGGAATGATAACAACACAGTGAAAGCTCCTCGTATCAGGATTCTAATGATACAACATATGTTCTCATTGTAACACAAGACAGCCCATGTTTATGGTATGGAAAAAAAACCCTCCCATGTTTATTAAATTAAGAGCTAAGCGATTTTGGGGAAGATTGACGGTTCAGGAAAGGGGTGCAGGTTTGGGTGATATTTTTACACAAAACACACTTAGTGCAATTAAGGCTGTGTGTCATATTCTAGGCCTGAGTCTCTGTGGACGAGGGGGGGAGTGGGGGTCAGGCAAAGGGGGGTGAAGAAGGGGCTGGTCCCAATGGAAACCACTACACCACCCAGAGTTCAGCAGCTGGGAGGCCACAGCAGCGTACACACACATATGCATGCAGACACGCACACAAAGGTTTCTTCTTTCCTGCATATGCTGCTCAGTGAACACTGCTCACATCATCACCCCGCACAGGTGACCTTTCACCCCTGTCAGCTTACCCAGCTGATTTCCTCACATTCAGGTTTCAGCTGTGACACATGACCACAGTGGCCAGGGAGATTTAGGGGCAGGTGGGAACCACACACACACACAGTGGGGTTCAAAAGTCTGAGACCACTGCACAAGACAGATTCACCTTATTAACACGTACTGCTCCAAGAGGGCCTTGGGTTTGATGTGTTAGTCAGACTATTATCAGAAACACACACACCCCTGTTGCACCGGCTTCCTGTGTTAAGTCCCTTCGTGCTGGCTTCCTGTTTTGGGTCAGTTCCAGTTATCATCACACAGAGCTGTGCACAGGACAGCCTGTCATGTGAAATCAGGCTCTCATGTGCTCTCATCTCATCCCACATAGTCTCACCCCTTTAATGCTAAAGCTTTTTTGTGAAAGCAGTGATAGCATCTTGTTAAGACCTAACAATAATAATAAGCCTCAGAAATAGCTACATATTGTGTCAAAAAGTTTGTTGCTATAAGAATAATATGTCTTCACTTGTATGAGTGTTCTCATGGTGTTGTAATCTTCAGATGGAGAGACAAATGTCCATGGGCTCCAATATGATGGGTATGCAAGGACCCGCCCACAGCAGCTCCTGCTCTTCCACTCACATTCCCTCCATGCACTCAGAAGCCAAACTGGTGAGTATATACATGTATTCGCTTATACACATTTATAAGTGCACACACACAAGCGCAAAGTGTTGCAACTCTCTTTTCCACTGGGCTGTGCCAGCAAAGCTGTGCTCTTAGGTCTGTGTGGATTTCATCATTTGGTGTGTAATCAAAGCTGTGTCTGAACCTGCCAGTGCTGCACTAGAGACTCTGGCTGGAATAAAGGGCCCTTTATGTGGTTGTGGCTGGGCTGCCCACCGACTGCCTGATGTATATCTTAATGTACAGAACATGTTCTGTAGGTCCTGCAACTTGTTAGCACTAGTTTAACACAGCAGGGAAAAAATCAAATGACCTCATCCTTCACAAAGCAGGCAGTTAGAGCAGTGGGAATGAGACGTAGCTGAGAGAAGGGAAAGACAGAAAGTAGACAGCTTTTGAGCGTTAAAAGTGTAGAGAAAGACTGAAAGAGGGAAAAGCTGAACAGAAAGAGAAAGAGACCTTCCACTCAGTCCAGTTTTACATGCTACTACTGCTGTAATACATATGCCAAAGGCTGACAGTATACCTCTGATTAATCTCAAATGGTTAAACAGTTACACTCTGTGATATGAATTGATTAATACTGTAGCAACATGACAGTCAGCCAACCTTTGTTTTCAAAATAAATAACAGGAAAAAAAGGTTCCATATAATTAAGAGCAAGTGTCATGATTTTGATATAAAAAAAATCACAAACCATATTGAAAAGCATTGGCTGGTGTTTGTGTTTGGAAGGGTTTGCTGATAGCTGAGTTTGCTGCAGAGAAACATCTTGTGGAGGGGAGAGAGAGAGAGAGAGAGAGGGGGAGAGAGAGAGGAGGTAGCAGAGGTCATTAGAAGAGTTATTGCTCTGATAGAGGAGAGCGGGAGCATTCCCAGGGCATTTAATTCTCCCTCTTCCTCCTGCTCTCTCAAGATTGATCGTCTTTGTAGTCTTTTGAATTTCTTCAACTGTTCCTATGGTAACACGCTGGGGTAACACAATATTAGTGTATTAGGCTTATCTCTCCTCTGGCCGTCATCCAGACACATCTTACCCTTTTTTTTCTCCTCCTATCTATGTAATTGAATTGTAAATGCTCTGTTAGGCCTCCCATAAACATATGCAGTCACTAAATGGCTACAGGCCCCTGGATCATGCAACTTTCTGGTTAGTTGGCCATTCACACACGAGGCACGGCAACCAAATGTGGATCAATTGAGATTCTGCTCCCTGATGTCTAAACGCAACTGATGGAATTCCATGATTGTGGACAGAAAGTGAGAGACTAATTGTGTTATCAGGGTGCGATCTCCAGCATGAGTTTCATAAGTATAGACGGGGTTTCTAATGTCTGTAATATCCGCGCCCGGGCCGGGTCGATAAATACGGCCTTGCTATCGGATAACTGGGCCATGATCAGGCCCATGTGTCCCCTGCGACGTTCTCAATCCGGCTCTAATCGCATTAGCCCAACCATGTTGACTTTCCGCCAATGGGAAATCTCCGCACTGTAACCCCACACCCCCGAGGCATGGACCTGGATACACTCTTTCTGCTCAACGTTTACATTGTGAGAGCAGAGAAGGGGATTGAGTGGGACTTTGATAGACATGAAGGAAACTGATAGACAGGCAGAGTGAGCAGGGGGAGTTGAAAGGCGAGAGATGGTATTGATATTCTGAGACACCAAATAGTGAGTGAGAGTGAGAAATCGGAAGAATTATTTGTGAGTGACATGAAAGGACTTCTGCTCGGCCTAGTTTCCTGTGCCCCTCTCCATGTGTGCATACATGTATGCCCATACGTGTGTGCTTGTGATTGTTTGATATTTTGTGGTAACTGGAGGCCTCGGTAGCAGGATTAACCCTCCCCTTCCAGAGAAAGCATGCCCAGAGCTTTGGCTAATGAAGGCTAATTGATTTTGTGGTGGGCCAGAGCAGCACAGAGGCCTGTCTCTGGTGTAAATAGTTAATGAGCCGAAGGACTGCTGTGGCCCCTTGGGGACTCATATCTCGCTCTAAGCCCTCTGTTTGTGCTCTCTCGGCCAAAGACTGTATCTGCATCAGTGCCCATCTTTGTTCTCCTGTATCTCTGATTTTCTCCTTAAGTGCCATCGTTTAAGTGGTACAGAAAAGCCTGATGGTGTAGTAACTGACTTGTATGTTCTCCCTTGCTGCTTGTAGCTTGTTGTTTGGGAGTGTTGCTGAGATTGGAGTGTTTTATTAGTTTTGGTTCAAGTGTTTCTTTCTTCTTGTGAAGTACTGGGTGCTCATGGTGCCGGGTGTGGTTGTGTTCTGCTCTGTTGTGGTCTAGGGAATATAACGGTGCGTGTTGTGTGCTGGAGGTTGTGGGATAGTTGACCCTCGCAGCGTGGAGGAAACGCTGCAGAGAGGAGGCCAAGTTCCACAGCACGCTGGCCAAAGCATTACGTCAGCGCTCAGAGCCAGTTCTCCACAGGGCCTCGCAAACAGTCGCGCGCACACACACGCACATGCGCACACACACACACACACACACACACACACACACACACACACACACACACACACACACACACACACAAATATTCTGACTTCTCCAACTCTGTGTCATCCTCCTTGCACAGTGTCAGATAGTAACACAGCCACAAACACACGTACACACACTTCCAGACAGTCAGGTACTTAAAAACAAGTTACAAATGTACACGTACACACATGCACAGAATACATGCACACATGCACTCTGTATAAACGCAGGTGTGCATACTGTATGTGCACTGTTTTCTCCTCTACAAAACCTTGGTTTGACGGTTTGATATGTTTGTTTCTATGATGAAAGACATTCACTATCATTTCTCATCAGAAACAAGGAAAGCCCAAACAGGCCCTTATCAAGCTGGTTCTAAATAACATCTGCAAGTGCCAACTATGGGACATGACTCAGCTCCAGTCAGTGGAGCCCTTTTCAAAGAGGTGCACTTCGGCATTGTTTTTGTGTCCCCTTTAAATGAGCTCCATGCTTTCCACACATCCCACTTGCCTGCTAATTTCAGACAGAGGGCCTTGAAACAGTTTGGTGTTGGTGTATGAAAATGTGTTATTTATTATCTCCCAATATCTATTGTTTACATTGTTACTAAGGACAATAAATTTGTCACTAAGCATCAGGCTAGGTGCTGAGTTTTTTATGAGGTAAACAATACTATATGTTCCTTCATTGCAGTTCTCTTGGCTGTGGAGCTGGCACTAGATGGGTGGATGACATAATTCCTGGCATGCTCTAAATGTACTCCTTTTTTACTTGAGGAGGGAAAAAAACAGCACGTCTCTTAAAGAAACATTTCATAGGACACAGGAGGACCAATAATCAAAGTGTTTCTAGCACACTAACGTAGCTTTTTACATTTTATTTACACAACCCTGACTGTTCTTATGTTTCAGTCTAGTTACAGAATTGGGCATTTGGGTTAATAGACTTAAAGACCAAGTTTTTCCCTAAACAGTGAACAACTGAAAAATGAAAGTTACATACATATTCTGTTAAGAAACGCCAAGTAAAGAAAAGCTGTGAAGCAGCCACAGATGTGTCAGTTTTCAGCTCTGCTATACCGTGATTGATTGAACGATTAGCTCAGTATGAAGTCATTTGTAAGCAGTTAAGCCATTAGCGTACGTGGTAACCCTGTTACGTGTTCCATTCATTTTCTTCCACTGTAGTAGGAGAGCACCTCTGGCTAGACCTCCGTTAGTGAGCAGGAGCAGCACACACAATAGGAGTCTAACTCCAGGTTTTGTAAGCAACATCTGTATGAATGGTGGCATTGTCAGGGTATGATGTCATTGGAGAGGGACGGTGAGCTAAGAGCACAGCTGAATCTGTGTGCTGTTTCACTGAGCTCTAGAATATGTGTATGTATATTGTATATGTTTGTGTGCATGCTTATGACTGTGTGTGCAAAATGACTTTCAGTGCCTTGGCACCCTCTCTGGCAATCATTGTCCTTGGAGTCAAAACACATCTGTGGACTAAGTGGGCTAAAACAAACCATTCGAGTTTGCACGTAGTTAAATAGCTGAGATACAATGTTGCATAAAGAGAAGGTTAAATGCCAGTGTAACAGATGCAAAGAAAGTTTTGTAGATGATGAACATAGGATGTTTCTCTCTATTGCCATGGAGGAAAGTGGTTTCAGCAGAGTGAAGTGTGGGGTTGAGGAGTTGCAGGATCAATGTGCGTCTGCCAGTTTATCAGTGTTGGACACAGACCAGAGAGGGGCCCCTCTCTCACTGCTTCCACTGTGGTGGCATTGCCAAAGTGTTTGGTTTGTCTGAGAGAGTCATTCTGTATACTCTATAGTTATAGTAAGTCAAAAATAAATGGACATGCTGTATAGTTTTGTTCTGCCTCTCATTTGACAGGCTTCATCAATATCATTCACTAAGGATTGTTTGTTGCAATAATGAACAATGTGTTCAACCACAATTGTCCAATTTATACACACACTGCTTTATAGGTTAATTTATGCAGTTTACACAAAACCGTGGTCTGTATCTTTTGCTCCATATATCGCTGCTTATAACCAGAGGTGTTTCTGTAATTTAGCCTACCTTCCATCATATAAATGGCATTGACAAAATAATTGAAACACCTGTCACTACAATGCAAGGCAATTCAACAGCACCACAAATTGCAGTCTCCAAAAATGATCATGAATTGAATCAGCACCTCTCTAAAACAGTGTCAACAAAAACTAACATTATAACCTTCATGAAGGAGGATTTATTGCCAGGCTGTTATATTAGACTGCATTTGTTTTACCTAGGTGTATGTAACTGGCACCGAGTGTATTGCTAAACACAATCAGTGAGATTGCTGCATATTCACATTAGGGTGTCAAACTGGCAGAAGAAATGCAACATAATTTATGAGATTTCTTTTCTTTTCTAATTTGTTTAGTAGCTACTTACTACATGTTGACCCATTCAGTTCAACATTTAGAACAGTTTTTCTGTTGAACAGT